TTGTCTTCTCGCAAGCATTGGAGATCGTGTAGCTGTGGAATCACTTGAATTGTTTACAAATTTGCAAACTTTAGATATTTTCATTGATTTAGAAAGCTCAACCAAATCATACAATCGTTTGATACTTTCAACAATAGCTAAAACTAGTTTTTCAAGACTTGAAAACATGCGTATTACGATTTTAGGTTCTGATACTGCATCTATTAGAAACGATTTAAAAAAAGTTACCGAAATTTATGGCCATACTTTAAAAGAACTAAGTTTTTGTGATCCGAAACCTTCACAAGGTGATTTAACTATTTTAGATACAATTAGAGATGCTCCTCATGCAAGATAAACTTTTGTATAATTAGTATGAATTACTTTTATTAACTGATATCATAACACTTCGATTCTAATTTACTTCTTTAGAACATTTCTAACATCGGTCAAGTTTTCCCCATGAAAATTTATCTGTTATATTTGGAACTATACGTTTTTAAATTACATAATTTGAGGGCAAAACGTATTTACGTTACGTCCTGTATATACAACTTAAAACAATTTGCAATTTAGTTTTTTAGTACTGTAGTATAAATATCTGTATATAGATCCGAAAAAAATTTTTTTTTAGAAAATAAATTTAATAATATTTTTATGACGTAATTATGACATAATGTTACGCTTATCGATATTGCTATCGCTATTGATTAACGTTAAAGTTACAATATTAATTAAAAGTTACGTCACTGCGGATTTTGCAATAGGTATTTCAAAAGATTCATTGGGACTATATAAAGTGATTCACCCGGAAAAAGTGGTGGCCGAATTATTTTTCCGGCTTATATAATTTCGAATACTAACCGCCGGTAAATTATGAAAATTTTTATTCAACGAATATATTGTGGTGTTTTTATATTACAGCGAATAAACATAAAGATTAATACGAATAAATACAAACATTTAAATAGAAAAATTGAAAATATTAGCTATTTTAAATGTTAAAGTTCTTTATATGCACCAGAGAAAATAATACATGAACTTAAATAATAGCTTATTTAAACGATCGATTAAGACCTTTATACTCTACCAATTTAACGCGAAAAAATTAGATAACGTTCGGAATCGATTGTTAATCACAAAAATCATTAAAAACAATCAAATTATATCAAATTGCACTAACAATGACTCCAACAACACCAAAGTGCAATAATATTAACAATGATGTTCTAGTAAGAAAAATGCACAATTTAAATAGTTCATAAATTTATTAATATACACTATATAGTGTGCGGATGTTAATTTTTGATTTACAAATTCGTGTACAGTAACATGCCAATCAAATAATTTTTATAACCGAAAAAATTAAACTCTCATTTATAGTTAGGGTAAAGGTGGGCTTGAGATTGTTCTTTTATACCAAAATTTCGCGAGAAGTTTTTTTGATAGAGCCAAAAGGTGGTTTCATAATCGAAAATTCGAGATATCAGTTGGCTTTTTTTATATACAGTATCTCATGTACAAATAGAAATTGTCTTTTTTAAATTATACAAATTAATAAATTATCTAATATCAATTTTAATATACAGTCTGACCATGTTATAATTACCAGGTTGGAAAACAAAATTTTGGTAATTATAAAAAGTTGTGACTAAATAAAGATCAAATTTTATATGTTTTATAATAGTTAGACCAAAAAATAGTGTGATTATAACAAGTTTGTGACTATATTGAGAGTGACTATAATGAGGTCAGACTATACAATTTGTAATTAAATCTAGATTCTTATTTAAAATCTATATAAATAAAAATTAGTTTATATTAAAAATATTAAATATAATATAATATAAGTATCTTACTTTAATAAATACATGTTCAAGTCAATAAATAGATAAAGTATAATC